AATAGACCAAGTAGCTATTACTGGAGAACCAACGAATAGACCAAGTAGCTACTACTGGAGAACCAACGAATGGACCAAGTAGCTGTTACTGGAGAACCAACAAATAGACCAAGTAGCTATTACTGGAGAACCAACGAATAGACCAAGTAGCTATTACTGGAGAACCAACTAACGGACCAAGTAGCTGTTACTGGAGAACCAACGAATGGACCAAGTAGCTATTACTGGAGAACCAACAAACGGACCAAGTAGCTATTACTGGAGAACCAACGAACGGACCAAGTAGCTGTTACTGGAGAACCAACGAATGGACCAAGTAGCTATTACTAGAGAACCAACAAATGGACCAAGTAGCTATTACTAGAGAACCAACGAACGGACCAAGTAGCTATTACTGGAAAACCAACGAACGGACCAAGTAGCTATTACTGGAGAACCAACGCATGGACCAAGTAGCTATTACTGGAGAACCAACGAACGGACCAAGTAGCTATTACTGGAAAACCAACGAATGGACCAAGTAGCTATTACTGGAGAACCAACGAACAGACCAAGTAGCTATTACTGGAGAACCAGTGAAAAGACCAAGTAGCTATTACTGGAGAACCAACGAATAGACCAAGTAGCTGTTACTGGAGAACCAATGAATAGACCAAGTAGCTATTACTGGAGAACCAACAAACAGACCAAGTAGCTGTTACTGGAGAACCAACAAATGGTGCACAGACAAAATGAAATGTATTCCCAGTTTCATATTGAGTGAAAGAGTTAACCCTTGATCTAAAGAAAACTTGAACCATGTGTTTGAGAATAAAAAGAAACTGCTCATCATACTTTATCAAGAAATTCCTTAGACCCAGTTTTTTTTGGTTTGGCCTTATCTACTTTTACATAGTAATCACTAAATCCAATGAACTTAAAAAAATTGGTCATCATTATATAATAATCAAAAGTTTTAATGTTACATCACTATTATACTAATGCTTTTACACATCGTCATTCAGTCTATTCTTGTACTTTTTTCAATGCTTGGCTTGTTTTACTCTTCTTTTTTTTCTCTCCTCAGTTTGCAAAGTCGTAAAGTTCCTCTGTATGTAACCTGAAACATCTTGTATGTTTTTATTAAGTACAGTAATATATATATGTTTCAATATAAGATACGATAAACTCAGCCAGTTCCTGGATCTGTTCCCTGAAACATCTTGTATGTTTTTATTAAGTACAGTAATATATATATGTTTCAATATAAGATACGATAAACTCAGCCAGTTCCTGGATCTGTTCCCTGAAACATCTTGTATGTTTTTATTAATTACAGTAATATATATATATGTTTCAATATAAGATACGATAAACTCAGCCAGTTCCTGGATCTGTTCCTAAGGTTAGTGTGGATTGTTAAAACTTTCATTGTACAGACTTTGTACTAAGTTGTGAAATCATTGTATTTATAAGATGCACGTTTTGATTTTGTGGTTTTTTTTTTAGATTATAATGTTTTGTTTTAATGTTCTAGACCATCAATGGCATGGAAGAAAAGGGATTACAAGATCGTCCTCGTTATGCACAATTAATGGCAATGGCTAATAGAGCTAAAGCAGTTCCTAGTCCTGGCATACCCTCTTCTCCCGGTCGAGGACCAAGTCCATCTATGGGCCCATCCTCTCATGGATCAGGAACACCAAGTCCAATTATGGGACCTCCTCATCCTCCTCAAGGGCAAGCCCCAGTAATGAATCCTCAACCTCAGCAGGCAGCTTCTCCTCACCCAATGGGAGGAGGGCCACCGCCACAGGTTCTCAGTCCAATACAACCCAACCAACTTGCTTCATCGCCTCACAATATGGGACCTCCAGCCCCACCAAATAATTCAGTCATGGGTCACATGTCCCCTTCTCAATCGTCTCCTATGTCTGTATCAATGATACAACAGCAAACTGCTCAACCGCAAACAGGACATGGTTACCCTCAGTCTTATGGTGGTCTTTCACCATACCAACAACAGGGTCCTCATTTACCCCCTGGACAGCAGATGAGCTTGCCTGGACAGGCAGTTGGTGCAGGAACAGTACAAGGGATGAATGATCAAACTCAGGGTCATCCAGGTACCATACAGAATTAACTTGTAACTATATATATATTAGTGACTATTTTTCATGTAGCCATAGCTCTGTGTAATATTGGATATAATATATGGAAACACTGAATGATTCTTTTTCAATGTGGTATGCTTGTTGGGGAAAAGTTTCTTTTTCAAATGTAAATTACCACCAACATTATTTTCTTATGTATGGGATCTTGCAGGTTAAGTTGACAGATCAAGTGGTGTGAACTAGTACCTGAACAATGTTGCTGGGATCTTGCAGGTTAGGTTGACAGATCAAGTGTTGTGAACTAGCACCCGAACAATGTTGCTGGGATCTTGCAGGTTAAGTTGACAGATCAAGTGTTGTGAACTAGTACCTGAACAATGTTGCTGGGATCTTGCAGGTTAGGTTGACAGATCAAATGTTGTGAACTAGCACCTGAACATTGTTGTGGGAGATAAGCTTTGAGCTTGTTGGATTGAAAAATGGGACAAGAAAGTAGAGGATTTTTATAAATAGAATTCAGTTAAACTGGATTAATATCACAAGAGGGATACCTCAGGGTTCAGTGTTAAGACCTTTGCCCTTTTTGAATTAATGAGACAGATGAAGTAGTGGACGATAAATTCCTTAAATTTGCTGATAATGTTAAGTTCTTAGGTATTGCTGGCTGTGAGGACAATGCTGCTACTTTACAAAAGTATTTAAATCATTTGATGAGTTGATTAAATAACTGATAGGTGGTTTTTAGTTATAATATATGCAAGGTGGTGCATTTGAGATATCATATTTTGAATTATAAGTATAATTTGGATGGGGATAACCCTAACAGTGTCATGAAAGAAAGGGATCTTGGTGTAATGGTTGATCAGTATCTTAAGCCATCCAAGCAGTATGATGTTGCTAGTGGGAAGGCAAATAGGATTTTAGGTTGTATCTACAGAAATATTGAATACAAGTCTAAATAGGTTATACTTTCACTGGTTAGGCCACATTTGGAGTACTGTGTTCAGTTTTGGACTCCTTACTGTAAGAAGGACATTGAGCTGTTGGAAAAGGTTCAAAGAGGCTTAAGACAATATTCAAAATGGAATGGTTTTCATAAGAGGACAACTTAAGATCTCTGAACTTGTTTACTCGTGAAAAAAGAAGAGTTAAAAGGGATAAAAATGATGTGTTTAATAAGATTGTTGAAAGAATCAATAGTGTTGATACAGCATCTTATATTATTGTGACACAAAGAGACACCAATGTAAATTTAGCAGGGAAAGAGTCATCTTCAGCTACGAGTTGTATTTTTTTTGACAGAGTGGTTCACCTTTGGAATGGGTTGCCTTCATATGTGGTGGATGTATTAAATGCGAGTTGAAGGGAAGTCTTGATGTATATTAAATGATACAGGCTGTTTGGTTTTTTCCATTTGTAAGTGGATGTGACAGCCTCGATGGACTAACAGTCATCTTTTTTGTCCATTAAATGTTGTATGTTTTGTTCAATAATAAATTTGGAACACAGGGTAATTTGATTATAAATAAAAAGAAACTACCTTTTGAAATTATGATAACAAAAAAAAACCCATCTTAATGTGTGGTGTACGAGATATAATTTTAAAATTATTCGTAAATAATTATGGCTTATGGTTGACAAAATATATTCTATTGTTGAATGTTCTCAATATTTCTCCACAGGCTATGGACAGATAAATGGACCCTCAGGACCTCACATGGAAGAAGGTGCCCAGAGGCCACCTCAAGGTCCAGGTCCTGACCCTGGTCCTATACCTGCTGGTGGTTCTCTAGCACAAGGAACCTTAGGGTCACCTGGTCAGAAGGCTTCAGCTCTTACACCAAGCCAAATGCAGCAACTTCGGGCGCAGATCATGGCCTACAAGTTTCTTGCTAGAAATCAGCAGATTCCAGATCACATTGGAATGGCTGTCCAAGGAAAGAGACATTTACCACCCCAACCACCTTATCAACGCCCTACAGGTTAGTAATCCTTTAGGGACAGAAAAAAGTGAAAATTAAATATAGCTGAATTACAAGTATAGCTTTAATGTCTGCCACCACGTTGATTTCATTGTAATGATTAGATTGTGTTATGGTGGTTTAGTTAGATGGATATTTTCATCAAAAGGAGAACAGTTGCTGTTCTGAAATCCATGCTGGATTATTGATAGATATATTATCAAAATGAACACATGTCTTCGGTTTTGGGAGATGGCTTTGTGCAGGTAAGCATAGTCTTTTTTTGTTTTTTTAAAATATGGAATGAAAGAGACTTGATTTGATGATGAGGAACCAATTTTGTACTAAATAAAGGTTTGGAGAGGGCTTGACTGGGTTATGAAGAAAACTTTATTATAAATTTATGATGTTTCGACAAGATTATGTCATCCTCAGAGTTTGAGGTTAACTAGCTTTTAAGTTAGATTGAGACCTGAGTATTACTTGCCATATTTTTTAATTGGTTTATTGAAACTTACAAAACTAAACAAGGAAGGAAGAATACCTTACAAAAATACCTGACAGGACATGCTCATCCTTTTAGCCATGGGAACATTATAATGTGATGGTTAATACCACTACTCATTGGTAAAGAGTAGGTAGTGGGCGTTGTTGACTAACTGACTTCCAAACTAATACTTCACTTCTGGACTTCTTTCCTCTTGAGTTCACATGTTTTGCCAAAGAAATTTGGAAGCCACCAGTTTGTGAAAACTTCCACGTAACCTCACGTAACCACTGCATGATGACATCATCATGTTGCAAAACCCTCCACCAGTTGGAGTGTGATGCACCTCCATGCACAAAGGCTCCTTCTACATTTGTGTTTGTAAATCCTCACTGTTTTTCTCAGTGCTGCAATGCACTGATGAGTATTTCTGCCTAATTCTCTGGCTGATGGTTGTTGGCCTTTAAAAATAGGGTTTCACAGTCACCTGTTGTACTGTCTCCAGTAAAAAGACCTTTCCAGAATGTAGGATCAGTGGGTATCTGGGCACATTTTCTGTGTCACCCCCACATGAATTCTCTCTCCCACCCCCTGTATTGAGTGGAGCACAGGAAACCCTTGCCACTTACCAACTCCCAGCTGCTGGGATGCTGAACTAACTGCTGGAGCTAAGACAAGAGGTCCCTCTATCATAAGAAGTGGGGCTGGGGTAACATTGGAGTGTAATGCAGGTCACTCCTCAATCTAACTGTGATACATCACAATCTTCAAGTGGGCTGATGGTACTTCTATTGCATTCAATACCACACTGTACTGACAAACACCCCATTCCTGCAGTTAGTGTGCAGCCCATAGAGACTGATAGTTGTGTGGTGGTATATATCATACGGTGCCCTCCTTCTACAGCTAGCATGGGGCCCATAGTGACTGATGGTGAGGACACAAGCTGGTTTTGACCTGTTGAGTCTAATGGTAGAGGAGAGAAGCACACAAAGTATGATCTGAATGAGCCCCAACCTTGCTACACAAATTGGAAAGCCATGTACCTGTTCCACCACTCCTTGCAACACCCTTATGGCTTTATTGCCTCTTCCTTTGGCTTCTTTAGGTTGCTTTCTGAAGGGAGCACATCCAAGTAACCTTTACACCAGGCCCACCACACCATTTCAACGTGGGATTCTAGCTATCAGTGCGAAGAAGTAAAGTATCATTTTGGAAGTTAACATTTATCTTACCTCAAAATGTATTTCCAATAAATACTCATCTCTTCACTCACTAATCCTTCCAAATTTTCCAGTGCACATTTATTCATTACCTTGTGAAAGAATGAAGATTCACAATCGCAAATGTAGAGAGAGATGGAAGGTTTTGCAGCATGATGTTATCATGCAGTGGTGCAAAATCGTATTTTTTTTACATGAAGCTAGGTGGAAGTGTTTACAAGGCTGGTGGCTTACATGTCTCTTTGGCAGAATGCACGAACTCGAGAGGAAAGAAAGCTGCCTGTTTGAAGAGATGAGTTTCTATTGGAAATATATTTTCAATTAAGGAACATGTTGACTTCCATCTTGTCTAACACTTCAAAATTAAGAATGGTTACACAGATAGCCCTTGAGTAACTTTGTGTGAAGTTCAACAAACAAACAAATAAAAAGAGAGGCTCAATAAAACATTCTCTTATAAACCGTTGTTTGCATACGTTATATTGTATTAGCATCCTTACTCAAGCACCAAGAGATTGATATCTACGTAACTTGGGTAATTTCCAGTTCTTCCCGTAGAATGCACAGCATAATAAATATTACTAATATACTTTTTATAAAAGCAGGATAGAAGAAAACACTTTAAAACTCAGCCGTCTATTAGCCTTCAACAACAACCTTTATTGGCATCCTTTAAGGATTTTGTCTCATTTATAATATTTTGTTTACCTTTATCATGTAGACGTTATTTACTCAAACTATAAATCCCTATTTTGACTCCATGCTGTTAGCTAGAATTACATTTGGTGGCATCAAAATAAGGATTTGTAACTTAAGTTAATAATGTCAACAGTATTTCCAGCTTTGTATGCTTACCTTGTTTATTATCCCTATATACTCAATATGATGCAATATGTGGATCCTACTGATAATAAATGGTATATGAACAAGGCAGTAGTTTTGAGGATTAAACTGATCGATCAGAACATATCAAAATATGCTTACTACTGACATGGTTAGCAATTTGTAAATTACCATGTGCAAAAGATCATTTACAGAATGCTCTCAAGAAAATCTTTAAGAGATGTTTCTGCTCTATCTGTAATGTTATATTTTGACACAAAGTAGCTGGTTCCTATTGTAGAGATCATGGTCAAACTGTCAATAAATGTTTAGGTACAGTAGGGCTACTTGCTGTGATTTATGTGCACAAAATAGATCATTTTTGGATATCTAACAGTTTCACTAGAAATGGTTTACAAAAGTCTTATTGTTGAAACAAAAATTATATGTTGATCTTTCCACAACTTCATAGGCACTCCTTCACCTGGGCAACCCACTATGCGACCTCCAGCCCCATCTGGTCCTCCTGGTCCAATGATGGGTCAACAACAGGTTCCACAAGGTCAACCTCCAGGCATTTCAGTAAGAAGACCTGGGATGCTTCCTCACTCAGCTCCACAGCCAATACAAAGCAGCATGCCACCACCCAATACACCCATTCAGAGTGCACCTGCACCCCAACAACCACCAGTCCACCCCCAACCAGTTACAAGTCGACCTCCCAACCAGCAGACTTCTGGAGGGCCTCCATCTGTACCAGCTATGATGCAGTTGCCACAGCAGAAACAGAACAGAATCACACCTGTTGCCAAACCCGAAGGACTGGATCCAATTGAAATTTTAAAAGAAAGGGAGAACAGGTTAGTTTGTTTTAAACATGAAAGCCAAATATCTAAACTAATATTTAAGAACACTGGTTGGTAACCAAACATTTTTAGAAGTTAAACCAAAAATATGCTTAACAGTGCGGGTATCCAGTGGATGAAAGACATAGTTTGATCATCATATTTATCAACTACAGTCGTTACTCATGTTCAGTTAGGTTAGCTATGTTCAATATTTATATTAATTACTATGCTTACTAGGTAAATGCTTAGTTCTAATCTAAGTAACTTTCTTTGATCTGAAGTTAATATTAATTATGGTTTTAGATCTTTTTAACAGTGATTTAATTATTTCTTTGTCTTTGCACATTTTTTCATCCTTCAAACTCAATTTAATTTTGAATGGATGAAACAGTACTGGCAAAATAATTCAAAGGTCTAAAAACACACTTTGAAAATGTGTTAGGACAATGATTTGCAAACAGATGTTAAATCTGTGGCTGGAAGAAATCTGACTAACAGTACATAAAAAATAACTTTGTTGCTTAGGCTGGTTCAGTTGAAAAACATAAATAATTTTAGAAACAATATAATTCAGTCAAATATTCATTTACTGTTCTTTACATCTGTAAGTAGATGGAAGTAACTTTCTTTTCACATCTCAAGTTGTTATCACTATTTTTTTTAGCTTGAATTTGAAATTTGAAAAACAAAGTCAAATTATACCTAGAATTTTATAATTGCAAAGGGATTATGTTTATTTTACTGGAAATTATGAAGTTAATTAGTTGAAAGATGACATTGACTTGTTTGATTGAAAAATGGAAGATTGTTTGGAAAGAGCATACTGCTGTTTTATTTGCTTAACATATTTTAGTGTACAATAACGGAGTTGCGATATTAGTAATTCCCATGATTATAGGAATGATGTAGTGGTTACTTTCTTTAGTAAACAAAATGAGTTAATAAATTCATGTAAATTCAAGGGAAAAGCTTAAAATGTCAATAAAGTCAGTTAATATTTACAGCTGATATGATTATTAATCAAAGCTGTTCTAAGTACTCGTAAATGTGTAAACTGTGGCAAGTCTAGATGATATCTACCTGATTCTTTGTAGACTCGCTTCGCGAATTGCTCACCGTATTGAAGAACTTTCTAATCTCCCTGGAAGTTTACCAGAAGATCTTCGCACAAAAGCAACTATTGAATTGAGAGCTTTGAGACTTCTAAACTTTCAGAGACAGGTGTGTGTGCCATATATTTGTACAGTTGAGACTGTCGTCAGTGTTAGACAGATTAAAAAGATATTAGTTATTTACTCTTAAATGTATAAGTTACATACTTATGTATAGTTATATTCTTAACCATGTTCTATAGTCCATTGCAAATGTATATGTTTTAGACCTATGTGTTTAGGATCCATTTATGTTTTAATATTTTTAAAAATTTTAAAGGAAAAATTGAAAAACATGTCGTATGACTTGTCCACATAACTGTGAAAGTTTGAAGGAAATAAACATTTTTGAACTAACTTAAGTTTACCAATATAACTCGCATTGCACTCCAAAAGATGCATCGTAGAAGAACAAATAAGTAATGAAAACAATCGTTTCAGATCTTGCTCTCATGTATTTGAAGTACGATAAGTACCAGATAAATATGTGTGATAACTGACCAAACTTGGGAAGAAGAACATTTAAAATCACATCTTTATTTATTTATCTAGACATTTTATCACGACACAGTAGTCTTTGTTAGTCCAGTAGTCCAGGATTTGTTAATAATTGACTTCTAGTTACAGCTGGAGTTTTATAAGTCTGGAAGACATAGATTAGAATCCATAACTAATCTGAAGAGCTAAACTCAACTTCAAGTCCAATAAATATGGACTTCAGCACATACATAATAGTTAGACACTTGTACCTTTCAGAAGATACTAAAAAAAACTTGGTGCACAAAACAATACGAATGTGGAACACAATATATAGGCAAAATCAAATACTCAGTTTGTGCTCGTGTCAAGAAACATAATATTTTCTTTAGAAAAGTCAAAATTATAGATAAGGCTGAAGACATGATGAAAAAAACTAAAGAAACAGTTGCTATTATAGTTCCTAACCGTGGACCACCTCGTGGTATTAACCAAAACTTTTAATATCCAATCAGGAACTGATTGGTTATCTTTATCAACAATAAAAAATTGTATGTGTGTTAAGTCTAATTTATTTAGTTATTTATTTATAAATCCTATTATATTACACAGCCATGTTATTTTACTTTATATTTATTTGTGTGTGTGTGTGTGTATTTATATATGTATTATTGTTAAAGGAATCACACATAATGTAGAGGCCATTTCACGTGTTTGTATTGTTGCTATGTGACACATTATAATTATATATATTGTTGCAAACAATGGTTGTATTGTTGCTATGTGACACATTATAATTATATATATTTTTTGCAAACAATGGTTGTATTGTTGCTATGTGACACATTATAATTATATATATTGTTGCAAACAATGGACACTCATGTTCCACCTGGAGGATGTCCCAGCAAAGGTACCAAAATCTCAGTCTTAATGTCAAATGAATAAGTTAAAAAAAACTGAGAGTAATAGTCCAACCATTAAACTTTTCCTTAAAATTTAACCATAGTATGAGTTTAAACGACTATTTTACTTAATTTCACTTCTCTCATAGCTCAGGGCTGAGGTGATAAGTTGTATGAGAAGAGATTCCACCCTAGAGACAGCATTAAATCCTAAACTCTACAAGAGAAGTAAGAGACAGGGATTGCGAGAAGCACGAATTACAGAAAAACTAGAGAAGCAGCAAAAGCTTGAACAGGAACGAAAACGTAGACAGAAGCATCAGGTTTGTCTGTAATTACACTTATGTTTATATACAGAATTTATTAAAACCGAAAACGTAGACAGAAGCATCAGGTTTGTCTGTAATTACACTTATGTTTATATACAGAATTTATTAAAACCGAAAACGTAGACAGAAGCATCAGGTTTGTATGTAGTTACACTTATGTTTATATACAGAATTTATTAAAACCGAAAACGTAGACAGAAGCATCAGGTTTGTCTGTAATTACACCTATGTTTATATACAGAATTTATTAAAACCGAAAACGTAGACAGAAGCATCAGGTTTGTTTGTTTGTCTGTAATTACACTTATGTTTATATACGGAATTTATTAAAACCGAAAACGTAGACAGAAGCATCAGGTTTGTCTGTAATTACACTTATGTTTATATACGGAATTTATTAAAACCGAAAACGTAGACAGAAGCATCAGGTTTGTCTGTAATTACACTTATGTTTATATACAGAATTTATTAAAACCTCGTAAGGACATTCTCGTTTATGGTATATTAGATGATAATAATTTTAATCACCAGAAAACAATGAATTAAAATGGGCTGTTCTAATTAAGAGCCACATAATTTTGTTTAGACTTTACATTGACATTTATTGGTCTAGCTGAATATTTTTCATGAATTTGTTATGGGATTTTTGTTTGTAAAATGTGATACAAATGGTTACTGAGGTTTGAGCTTTCAGAAACTTTTCTATGCTAAAACAATAGTTAGTATTCCAAGCTTTATCAAGCCTGTCATAACTGGCTATAGCTAGTAAAGCCCAAGGTTCAAGCCACAGTTTGCCACTTTCAAATGTAGGAACACTGTAACTGTAACAGTTTTTTTATCTGTTTAAAGAGTAACTTCATAGGTGGCTGATGATGATCAGTGGTTACACTTCTTCTAGTCAGCAGTTCTACAGTTATAGATTAGAGATGAGGTTGCTAGGCCTTATGGGGTTTCTGACTTAGCTATTTAGCTTGTGTGTCAAATAAGATGCCTAAACTGACCTCACAAGAACATACATGTAAATAACATGATGAAATTTGCTTCATGAAATCATGTAGAAGGAAAGTGTTTTTATCTTTTCTGCAACTTTTACAAGAAACTTAATTATAGGCCTAACATTTACACTGGATTTTTTTTTCCTACTTTCCTCTTAGTTTGTCCATGGCAGCTCAAAATCAGAGATGTGTAAAAATAGAATTTCAAATAAATATTTTGTCTTACACAAGTCACTGCCCCGAAGGCCTTTATTTAGTATGAGAATTTGTTAGTGACTGGATGATGAGAGAAAAGCTTTTTTCGGTAGATATTTATATATATGCAGTATCGTGCTTTAAAAGTTAAGGTTTACATGCTAAATGCTGGTGGAGCATTGAAAAATCAACAGATCTTACACTTGTGATAAAATTTAATTATCTTTTCTTAGGTTTTTTACAAGAAAGAATAAGTATATGTTGTTGTTTTTTTATATTTGTTCAGAATCAAAACTTGTTCAAACTAGTGTGACTGTAGTGGTAGTTTGCCATTAGGATGAAAACATTGTCCATGATGAAAACGTTGTCCATGATGAAAAGAAATGCAGTCATAGAATAGTAATATGGGAAATTTTGATGATAATGTTAGAAAAACACATGTGACATATATATTACTTATACGAAATGTAAAAAAAGAATAATTACCTGGAGTCTAAAGGTCTTTTTTTTCTAACTTTACTATTAAAATAGGTAAATCCCTCCATTATGCACCACACATTTTCAAAGACAAGTAATATGGGAAAGTAGAAAAACTAGTTAAATCATCTAAAAAGAGAGAGAGAGACTTTATAGCTGATTGGTGGAAATATTGATCACTATTTTCAGTTTTATATCTTTATATGTTTTTATGTTTTGAAGACTTCATATGAGTCATTTTGTCAATGAGACTTGTCTCAGTTATAAAAACAAACAAACTTGTCTTCAGTTTTTACATCAATCTAGGTATTAAGGAAATAATTTTTTTTTAACTTTTGAGGAAACAGATGTTTCATTCATGTACTGAGATTAATTATTGCTCTTCTGTTTAAATTTTTACGATATTGGAGGAGATGATTCTTGTTAAAGAGTGAAACGTTAAGACGATCTTCTTTAATGTTTCACCTTTGTTTACTTTAACACTTCACATAATCTTTTATAGCTTTGAGCTAATTTTAAAATATTAAGTTGTTGCTGTGGATTTAGAAGAAAAGAACATTTTCTGTGTTCTACTAAATTGCAATTTCAGATAACTTCTTTTAGATCGCTGTGTTTTACCAGTAGACTCGTTTTTGGTTTTAGAAAAAGTCTTTTCAATTGTTTTTGGCTTTCATTTATGCCCCCTCCCCCAAAAAAACGTTTGTTGTTATTAACCAGTGGTGATGTTCTCACTTAAGAAGTTATAGGCATGGGTGGGACTTGGGAACAAAATGATAGACAAATATATAAAAGCCTGGGTATGTATACTATATCCCAGCTTTCAGTATAAGTGCTCATTTTTTTCCAGGAACTGGCCTCACGGTATATGAAGTATCATGTTATCTACAAGTTAACTGTACTTCTTCATACGCTATGCAAATTTATCTGAAGTATAAAAAAAATAATGAAACTGGCTTCCCAATAAATAATTTGTGTTTCAGTTCACAAAGAATTCCAATGAGTTCCAGCAGAGTTTCACCTCTGATATTATTAACTAGAGAACTGTTCCTCTTAGTGATATGAAAATACACTGTTGCTAATGGGTACCAATTCACTTTTAAGTGCTTGTATGTGAAGCCATGATGGTTTGACATTCAACATAATTAGTGTATGTTATTGGCTGTAAATATGATCTTCTATATTAAATTTGTTATTTTATATACTTATAAACATAGACATTGGAATAACTATTTATAGTTTCTGAATGAAAAATAGTTATGTTCACTTTACTGAATAGAAAAGTTTGTAATAATGTTTTTTCTTGTTGAATAACTCCTTCCGTTTAGATTTCAAATATTCAAATATTAATTTTGTGTACTGTAGTTAAGGTTATTAAGATTCCTATTTAATTATAATAAATTTAGGCAGTGATGTGTGTGTGTGTACTTTTGAATTTTAGGAGTACTTGAATGCAGTTCTACAGCATGCAAAAGACTTCAAAGACTATCATCGTAATGTTTTAAACAAAATTGGAAAAGTTAACAAAGCTGTCAGTACTTATCATGCTAACACTGAGAGGGAGCAGAAGAAAGAACAAGAAAGGATAGAGAAGGAACGTATGAGACGACTGATGGTAAGTTGGGTTAGATTCTTTGTTGTTTTTATCAGTCGATTGATGTTTATGCTCTGTGTATCTTATAGAAGAAAAACGTTTTGATTTATAGAATAACTTGAATGATCACGTGACACTGATGGTAAGTTGGGTTAGATTCTTTGTTGTTTTTATCAGTCGATAGATGTTTATGCTCTGTGTATCTTATAGAAGAAAAACGTTTTGATTTATAGAATAACTTGAATGATCACGTGACACTACATTTTCAATGTTACGGTGCTTTTTCCAGTTTTATGAAGAGTTTTCAAATGTTCTTTGATTTAGAATAATCCTATAAATTTAGGTCTGGTAGCATAAATTTTAAATTCTATATTTTAATAAGTAGACATGTTATGACAAATATTACTGTAAGGGAAAAAGTCAACAAATGAAAAAGCCCCAACCCAGTGGCACAGCGGCATATCTGCAGATTTACAATGGTAGAAACCGGGTTTCGATACCCGTGGTGGGTAGAGCACAGATCATCATCATCAGGTGATGACAAAACCTTGTTGAAACGTTGTACATTTGCTGTTATGTTAAACTTATATTAAAGTTTTTTCTTCATTACCCATTCAAGCCATCTCCAACCGTTATTAGTCTCAAAGTGGGTTTCTAGTCAGCAAATTTGAAAGTCCTGAAGTATGTTGGTTTTTGTTATTTTACTAAATTGTTAAATCCTATCTCATTGTTGCATCTGTAAGAGATTTTTTTTAGTTGTGTTAACTTCTTAATATAATTTGACTAAATGTGTTCTTGCCTGTTAGTAGAATAAAAAGTTACATATGATCACCTGTGGAGAGATTTATAACTAATCAATTTACTTGCTTGAAGTGATGAATTATACTATATGTTTTTGTTGTTATTGTGTGTGACGAATCTTAGATTTTAATGAAGTGTCATTCTGAAAAAATAGAAACACTCAATAAAATAAAATTACAAGTTAAAGCGAGAAAGTACTTTAAAAACTAAGTATCTTGAAATATAACACTTTCTTGAGAAATAGAAAAAAAAAGAGAGAGTACTAGACAAAAAAAAGAACAGTAACCAACGTTTAACACATCATTTGTCATTTCACACAATTGAACAAAGTATACAAACATAAGGGCAGAATGATAATTAAGGTGACACAGGGTCCACCTTAGGATTCCACAGCCTAAAGAAAAATAATTATTTCTTAGAAAGATCTGATAAAATTGGAATTATAATCTTTATATTGTTTTGACAGAGAAAAACAAAATCAACATATGGAAAAAGTGGCAAAAGTAAAAACATCTTAAATGTGAAAATATCCCCTAAAACCTCCAAAATATAAATTACCAACTTAGGGAGAAGAAACTTAAAAGTCAATCTTGAAAGGACTATGAAAGTTTTTTTAACATTAAAACTTTAGCAGAGCACTGCATATGCAAAAACAGCATTATAATTGTGCAAAAAAACCACCATATGTTCGTGTAGCGTAAAGGAAGGGGATTTTAGTGTGTGAAACAATGCTCAAAACAATAAGTATTATTAACATGTGAAAAAGTCAAATATAATGTTCTCTTAAGTTTCCAAATCAAAGAATTGTCCTATTGTAATAATTTAAAACTTTTTGGAAGCTTTTAGTGAGATACAGTTTTAGTTCTAAAATATCTGAGAAGAAATACTGAAATGTATCTTTCAATATTTCTGTATTTTTATCACCAACCTATTGTAGTGGCTTGTAAAATTAGATTTTATTTCTCACTAGGCTGAAGATGAAGAAGGCTATCGTAAATTAATTGATCAGAAGAAGGACAGACGGCTGGCATTCCTGTTATCTCAGACGGACGAGTACATCCACAATTTGACAGACATGGTGAAGCAACATAAAGCTGAACAAAAACGCAAGCTCAAAGAGAAACGAAAACAGAAGAAAAAGGTGTGCCTGTATTTTGATAATTTTTTATACTTAACTGAGATGCTAGAATACCTAAATATTCTGGAAAGAAAGCACAACGTTTTGTGGAATTCTGTAAATGACCAGTCATATTTACTATTTAACACTTGCAAAGTTTGCTTGCAGGAAAGTAGATAGTGAGTGACATACTGAATATAAGAAATTATTATTTTTGTTAACATCGTAATGAAACCACAGGTAATGGGGTCCTTTGTGTTAGTACATGAATCTAACATCTGTTACGATTACATCATATTCTCACATGCCATGATATCATAGTAAAACCACAGATAATAGCTCTGTGTTAGCAGGGCAGGAAATTCATGGCGGTAATTGCCACCATATTTTTTAAAATGGGTGGTACCCTAAAAAGATTGCTAACATCCATGGCCACGATGCCTAAACTTCAGTACCCTTTTGCCCATTTTGCCCTCATGATCTAAAATTGTACTACTTACCACAATAAAGGGAAAATCATTGGGGATCACAAACACTGGACGTACAACCTACTGAAACTGTCTTGTTGCAAATAATATATCATATAAAATGCGTGTATCGGAGGGAGTTAAATTTTTGCTTTGATTGGCTGTAAAACATTTGTGCATTTTGTTGAGTCATACCATACCGCAGGCTCTTAGTAGTAGCAAGCAATTCAAATCAAACAACAAACACGCAGAACTTCCACAAAAATGCACAGCAACAGCAGTATGTGACGATCAAAGTCAGCAAGTGAAGTGTGCAACTGCAAATACTCCTTGCATTAAATATGCCAAAACAGGAATGAGTTAAGAGGGAGAATGCCATGAAACTTTTTTTCTGTGGCAGTCAAGTGCTAGAAATTGGAACTTTTTTTTTTACATCGGTAAATATATATATTACATCTTGATTTTTAGCCATGGGATATAGCAGCTCATAGAATGGTTCTGAGTTTTTTTCAAATACAAACTTTTAGCGCATAGTTCCTTCATCTCTTGACTGATTTCAAATTTAATTATAGTTTTGGACTCAGGAGGTCAAATCATTTTGATTGATATATTTGACCATGACCAAGGTCTCGTAGATTGATTTATTGTAATCCTGCCTTAAAGAATTTCAATCTGAGGGTAGGGTGGTAGAAATCCTGATGAGTAATAAAATCGAATTGGGTATACGCACACCCCCATAATTTGTATTGCTGGTGCACAAAAATATAGCTAATATAAAGGGGAAAAAAAATCTCATAGATTAATTTACTCTAATCCTGCCTAAAAGAATTTCAAGTGCCATGGCTATTGAAAATTCCATCTTGTATAGAAAATGAAGGGAAATAGGACATGTCAATAATTTGGTTGTGAGTTGCACAATGTGCAGTGTGTGACAACACATGATTTATAGGTTATGACCATGTGCTATACTGTAATGTAGGCCTAGTTTACTGTTTATCGGCACTAGCCTACATTACAAATTATGCGAAAAAAATGCTAGTAGTAGTAGTATTGTTTGGAAGTAGAATGTTGACCTTATATCATGGCAATGTGTCTTTCTATCTATCTGCCTGTCCATCAAGATTTTCAAAGGGCTGCTGTTTGGAGGCCGTGTAACTGATTTTTGTCAACCATGGTCAAGTAGTCAGACATGTTGGGGTTGAATTTTGTTGGTAGAAATTAGGCCTTTAAACTTCTTCTCTTCCCAAGGATTCTGTCTGATCATTCTCATTAGATAAAGTAAAAACTGTTGTATACAATTCTTAAGTCAAAGGTCAATGATTTGTAAGGTCACTAGAGGTCAAATCCAGGAAACTTTTTAAAATACTTCTCCTCCCAGGGATTTTGTTTGATCCTTCTCAAAGTTAGATAAATTAACAATAGGAGAGAGGTGCCTAAAAGCTCTTTACAATTTTAGTGGAGAGAGGTGCCTAAAAGCTCTTTACGATTTTAGTGGAGAGAGGTGCCTATAAGCTGTATACGATTTAGTGGAGAGAGGTGCCTATAAGCTGTATACGATTTTAGTGGAGAGAGGTGCC